ACGAAAAACATTTCCATCAAAAAAATTCGACGGCAAAAAATTTCATTAAAATTCTTTACAGATTTCAAATTTCGGCGAAGGTTTTCGACGAAAATATTTTCGTCATCAAAAAATTTTTACGGCAAAAAATTTCATCAAAATTCTTTACAGATTTCAAATTTTGGCGAAAGTTTTCGACGGAAACATTTTCGTCTCAAAAAATTTTGACGGCAAAATATATCGACGGCAAAATATTTCATCAAAATTCTTTACAGATTTCAAATTTCGGCGAAAGTTTTCAACGGAAATATTTTCGTCATCAAATAATTTTGACGGCAAAAAATTTCATCAAAATTCTTTACAGATTTCAAATTTTGGCGAAAGTTTTCGACGAAAACATTTTCGTCATCAAAAAATTTTGACGGCAAAAAAATTCATCAAAATTCTTTACAGATTTCAAATTTCGGTGAAAGTTTTCGACGAAAAAATTTTCGTTAAATTTTTTGACAAAAAAAAAAAATTTCGTTGAAATTTTTAGCGAAACACATTTCAATCAAAATTTTAAACTAAATATTTTTGTCAAGTTTTTTGATAAAAAATTTCCATCAAAATTTTCAACGAAACACATTTCTATAAAAAAAAATTCGTAAATTTTTTTGACAAAAAATACATTTTGACGAAAAAAATATTCTGTCAAAATTCTTTAGAGAATCTAAATTTCGTCGAAAGTTTCAAATGAAACATTCCCCTCGAAATAATTTTCGTCAGAACACATTCCCTTCAAAATTTTGAATGAAAAACATTTCGTCAAATTTTTTGACAAAATTCTTTTTTCGTTTAAAACATTTGATGGAAGAAATCATTTTCGTCAAAACTGTTGACGGAAACTAAATTTCAATAGAAAATCATTTTTTTGTAAAAATTTCGACGAAAAAATAATTTTGTGACGAAATTTTCGTCTTTTGCAACGTAAAAATTTTGACAAAATTTTGTTAGAAAACCAAGTCAAAAACGGGTCAGGTCAGATTTGACCTAGTTCAGAAACCAAGTCAGACCCACTTCAGAAACCAAGTCAGGTCAGATCCAAACTGGTTCTGAACTAGTTCAACAAAATCCAATCCAAGTCAGACCTGACTTGGATCAAATTAAAGCGGGTTGGGTCAAAATACCTGACCTATAAAAACCAAGTTGGGTCGAGTCGGACAAAAACCTGACCCGACCTGACCCATGCACAACCCTACTCAGAGTTATGATGAGGCTATGATGAGCTCAGAGAAAGAAGAATGGGAAAAGGCAATGCAAGACGAGATGAAGTCTCTGCACGAGAATCAGACTTATGAGCTGACCGAGTTGCCTAAAGGTAAACGAGCTTTGAAGAATAAATGGGTCTACAAGATTAAGAATGAAGAGAACGGGCAAAAGCCGAGATACAAAGCTCGGATTGTAGTAAAAGGCTGCAATTAGAAGAAAGGAGTTGATTTTGAGGAGATTTTTTCTCCTGTGGTGAAAATGACCTCGATTCGAACCGTGTTAGCAATGGCGGCTTCAATGGACCTCGAGGTAGAACAAATGGACGTGAAGACGGCATTTCTTCACGGTGATTTAGAAGAAGAAATATATATGGAGCAACCTGAAGGATTCCAAGCTCCAGAACAAGAAGACTTGGTATGTCATTTGAAGAAGAGCCTCTATGGCTTGAAGCAAGCATCTCGGCAGTGGTACAAGAAGTTTGAATCATTCATGACTTATCATAAGTTTGAAAAGACTGAAGCCGACCACTGCGTATTTGTGAAGAGGTATGAGGCTGGAGATTTTCTGATATTGTTGTTATATGTTGACGACATGCTTATTGTAGGGAAAGACAAATCGAGGATAGCCGCCCTGAAAAAGGCGTTGAGCTCGTCCTTCGCAATGAAGGACCTCGGCCCTGCAAAGCAGATACTCGGAATCAAGATTATCCGAGATAGACAGAAGAAGCTACTGTGGCTGAGTCAAGAGAAATATATTGAGAAGATTCTGAAGAGATTCAACATGGACAAAGCCAAAACAGTGAGCACCCCCCTAGCCGGACACATAAAGCTAAACCAGAAGCAATGTCCGAGATCTGATGAAGACAAAGATGAAATGATGAAGGTCCCTTACCAATCCGCCGTTGGAAGCTTGATGTATGCAATGGTTTGCACCAGACCCGACTTGGCGTATGCTGTTGGAATGGTAAGCCGGTATTTGTCAAACCCCGGCAAAGAGCACTGGGAAGCAGTGAAGTGGATCTTCAAGTACCTCCGAGGTACGACCGACTTATGTCTCCGATTTGGAGAAGGCAAAGCCGAATGGCAAGGCTACTCGAATTCTGATTTAGGGGGAGATTTCGACTCGAGGAAATCGACGACGGGATACATGATGAGATTTGTCGGAGGAGCTGTCTCTTGGCAATCAAGCCTTCAGAAGTGTGTTGCACTATCGACAACTGAGGCTGAGTACATTGCCGCTACTGAGGCAAGCAAAGAGATGTTGTGGATGAAGAAGTTCCTCATGGAACTCAGCCATGATCAAGACAAGTACGAGCTGGGTTGTGACAATCAAAGCGCAATCCATCTTGCGAATAATTCAACCTATCACTCCCGCACTAAGCATATTGATGTGAGATATCACTGGATCCGGGATGTGGTGGAAGGTGGTGAGCTCGAACTCGTCAAGGTGCACACTGACCAAAATTGGTTCGACATGATGACAAAGCCGGTTCCAGCAAGAAAATTTGAAGACTGCTGTGAAGGAGCCGGGTTGATGCTGAAGCCGACGCATTGAAGTCGGAGGGGAGATTTGTTGGGCTTCCTCCTTCAATGCTAAGCCCAAGCCCATTTGAGGGGTTTCCTAAAAACCCTAACCCTAATTTCCACCTCCTCTATATATACTCATTAGTTGAGGGTGGAGGCTAGGTCAGATTTGAGAGAACAAATTTGAGAGAACAAATTTGAGAGAATTATTTGATTGTTTGAGCAAGGCTTTATGCTTTGCATTTGAATCTCTAGAGAGAGAGTTTGAGTGAAACATCTCTAGGGTAGTTTGATTATCACCATTGTTGGAGAGGTTGAGTTAACCACCACATTGGTGTATTTGATTATTTGTAACCATTATTTTCATAGTGGATTTCTGATCTGGACTAGGTCCCGTGGGTTTTTACTTCTTCATTAGAGAAGGTTTTCCCACGTTAAATCTGGTTGTGTTCTTCTTCTCTCTCCTGTTTTCGTTTTGATTTTTCCGCTGCGCTGCCTGACCTGGTGAAGTTCAGGCCGAGGTATTGCCGAGATCCGAGATCAGGATCTTGTTGATTGACTTCCGCACAAAGGCCCCTGAGCCGAGCTTGAGGGAACCGAGTATTCCCAACAGTATTTACATTCCCAACAAAAGAAAAACACAACCGCTTGGAAAAAAGACCATTCAAATGCAGAGAAACACAATTTTACACCAGCTCACCAGCTCACCAGCTCCGTATACTAAAGTTCATCAATATCTAGTACCCAGCAGCTTTATTATAATCTCATTGAATTAAAACATATTTAACCGAAGAAACCCAATCCATTTCAAAGCATAATATAACACAACATCCTTATTTGCAAAAAAGGAACCATTATCACATCTATTCCTTATCATGTAGCAGTAATTACTAATCAGAACAAGTTTGCTTCGAACAGAAATAATGCGTCTCTCTCTTCTGAAGAGAGGACACACAGAAAACAACACGACCCCATTCAAAGCAGCGAAAACGAGATTCAAACATACTAACTGATTCCAATAAAATAAACAAAACAGCATCTTATAAAATCATATATCTTAATTCATTTTATAAATTTGCATTCAAAATCTGAATAACAAACAAGAGTACAGAAAAAAAAAAAGTAGTAAAATATATTTCCATAGACGAATCCAAAACTGAAAGAGAGAAAGAGAGAAAAATCAACGTTAGAACCAACACAGTGTTATGATAAATAGAAATAGTAAGGCATTGTATACATAACCTGCAGCATTACAAGTTCTAGAAAGAAAAATTGTGATAGAAATTTCACAAGTCGATTCAGTTCCAAAACAGAGCATGATGAAAAGGCTTTAGAAAAGAAAAAGAAAAAGAAAACATAAAATGAAATCGCCTCACAACCAAAACTAGAAAAGAAAAAAATGAACCAACCTCGTTGGAACGTTGTGGGTAGAAAATCAAAGAGACGTAAAATGCTTATAAAAATAAAAAAGTGAAAAGCCAGTTAGTATCGTTCATTTCCAAGATGACTATTTAGCTTTCAACAACAACAACACCGAAAAGGCAAAAAAGGCGACAAAAAAAATTACGATGAAAAATTAGAGCTCAGAAGAAAAGGCAATGCTCACCAAAACGAGTGTCACTTGCAGGCACAAAATGCGCAGCGCAGTAGTAGACTAGTAGTACGAGTATTGCAAAAGAAACACACAGAGATGGTTAATATGTTTTTTTTGTAGTGATATGATATATAAACAATTATATATCATAGAAACCAGAATCTCGTACCCCAGTCATATATAGTAACTAACTAGCCATATATATATATAAGCAATCTAAACAAACTCCTTATCAAAGAAACGAAGAATACAATATCGTAAAGCCAATAATTAAGTTTGAGCGAAGCAGTACTGAAGCATAAAAGTGAGCTCAATTCATTTGTAGTACCCAACTCAGAGTCTCAAAATTAAGCAGCTATAAGCAGTTCATGTTGTCATATATGATAACCTAAGCATCACATTTACCAAAGCAAAAATACACACGGTGAAGTGATTGTGTATTGACTGAAATATTAACAACTTCTTACTATAAACATTGGAAATTTAAAAACATCTGCTGCTCTCGAAATGGTCTGCATACTGTTGTGTTTAGTGTGGTAACTGTTTCTCATTTTTCCAGTTTGTAAGAGGCAGAGAATCTTCGAAAGGACCAAGTTCCAACTTATATCTCAAGACATTCAGTGAGCTCTATTCCTAATATTCGATATTAGAAGCTAGTAGGGAGTAAAAGGAACCTTATCTCCATGATTTAACGGAATCAAGCTCAGGGAATGGGGAAGTATCGTAGGACACCACGTGCATTTTGAGTTCAGATCTTCAATAGAACAAGCTTGAGTCATCTTGTTATTGTTATTGTTAATGTCATACATGTATATATGTGCACGCACTTTCATCAGTAAAACCCCATCTTTGAATCCTAGAGGATTCATCCATGAGTTTGTATCCACACTCACTCGCTGTGACACTCGATTCTTTAAATTTAAAAAGAAGCGTGGATATTCTCCCTCAATTTCCTCTAGAGATTTATAATGCTTGAGTGTCCATTTAAACTCATAATAATCTTCAAGATACCATACATGAAGACCTTCCTCTGATACTAGGACATAATGCAGCTTGCCTTCAGATTCTCCAATACATGCTTCAGGGATAGTCCTAAACTCCAAGGTTGGAATTGGTACTGAAATCAACCAAGACAGCTCCTTCTCAACGTCAAAAGTCAGGACTTGATCACCATCCGTAAGCCAATGTAAAACCCCTTCTATGTATATGCCTTTATTCTTGATCAAATTGTTATTACATTGGCAGATTTCATTGGATTTCCTCCATGCTCCGGTTTCTGAGGAGTATAATTCAAATGTTAAGTACAATCTCTCGTCTCTATTCTCATCCTGCTTAACTCTTACCAATTTAAATTTGGTAGAGATGTCAATGGAATCTTTGGATGGATCAAAAGCCAGTGCTACGTTTTCTATTCTGTGATGGGAAGGCCACTCCACCTTAATCCACTCTTTAATTGAAGGATTGCAGATATATAGAGTTGGTTCTTGAAAAGGGAAACAGCTACCACAACAGACTAGCCCATTGCATGATGCCAAGATAACAACATCTTCAGGAAGAAAATTGAAAACCATGTGACCAACTTTGGCGCCTCTTGTCTCAACAGGAATGTAACTAACAATTTCGATGTCTTCATTGCAAAACTCAAACTTCTCTTGGTAAATGAACCCCGTTAAGACATGCTCTGTGTTTTCCATCTGAGCTTTGATGAAGGAACGGCTGGAAATGATGCGGTGCCAAACTCTACAAATGCACTTCAAACCTAGCAAGGCCTTTACCGGAATCCGGGACAGAACATCAAAGAGAATGTCACTATTCACAAACCTTGAAACCTTCTTCATTTTCTGAAAAGTTGGTACACGAATTTATTAAAACATACTCAAGCTCAAGGCAAGAAAAAAAGGTCAATACTTTTATAATTCACCATAATATGAAATCAAACATAAAGTATTTTAAAGTAAAGTATCAATCAATATTTTCGAAAACAAACTAAATACTTTATGTCAAATCGAAAACAGAAGGAAGAAAAATATTATTTAAAAATGCAGATTTGAAAGCACAAAATAACATCATCTGAACTATGTGCAGAGCAAAATATGGCATAAAGTTATTCTTCATTGATTAGGAAGGTAATCTAAATCTAACGTATTAACAAAATCCGGGACAGAACATCAAAGAGAATGTCACTACAAGAATTTATTAACACTACATAACTTCAAGGCAGGGAGGAAATTTCAATACTTAAATTATTCTTTGTTAATTAGGAAAATTCTCTACAAGCACAACTATAAGTCAAGGATTTTGTATTCTAACACTGTGAAAACCAGATTATGGCCACTGAGGAAAATTATTAAACTATAGCGAGAATGATGCGAGAAACAAACAAACATTTTATGTACCACCCACGTCAAAAACAGAATGAAAAAAGATGTTATGTATCAATGTAGATTTAAAGGGACAAAATAACCTCATCATAACTAGAATTTCGACCATTTGTAACCAATTTGGTTCAATTTAACAAAATAGTACTATCAACTCCAGGTATTATTTAGGACCTTTGCACTGTTTAAACCAACTTGGTTCACCTTAACACAATAATACCATCAAACCAGGGTATTATTGAGGACCTTTGCATTGTTTACACTAAACCCTAAACCATTCAAATGCAGAGAAAACACTTCAACACCAGCTCCGTATACTAAAGTTCATCCATTTCTAGTATCCAGCAGCTTTAGTATAATCTCATTGAATCAAAACATAGTTAACCGAAGAACCTCAATCCATTCAAGGCATAATATAACACAACATCCTTATTTGCAAAATAGGAACCACTATCATAACGTTTTCTTTATCATGTAGCATTAATAACTAATCAGTAAGTGGCAAGTTTGCTTCTAACAGAAATAATACGTCTCGCTCTTCTGAAGAGAGGACACAAAGAAAACAACACGCCACCATTCAAAGCAGCGAAAACGAGATTCAAACATACTAACCGATTCCAATCAAATAAAATAAACAAAACAGCATCTTATAAAATCATATATCTAAATTAACAACAGAAATTAACTAATTCATTTTATAAATTTGCATTCAAAATCTGAATAACTAACAAGCGCACAGCAAAATAGAGAAAAGACGGAAAGTAGTAAAAAACAAAATTCCATAGACGAAACCAGAACTGAAAGAGTGAAAGAGAAAGAGAAATTAACGGTAGGACTTTTTGAACGCAGCTACAACCAATAGAACAGTGTATGGTAAATACAAAGAGTAAGAAAATATGACAGAAATTTCTAGAAAGAAAATGTGATACAAAATGTGATAAACATAACCTGCAGCATCGCAAGTCGTAGAAAGAAAATGTGATAGAAATTTCACAAGTCGATTCAGTTCCAAAACAGAGCATGATGAAAAGGCCTTAGAAAAAAAAAAAAAAAACAAATTAAGTCGCCACATAGAACCAAAAATAGAAGAAGAAAAAAATGAACCAACCTCGTTGGAACGTTGTTGGTAGAAAAACAAAGAGACGTAAAATGTTTATAAAAATAAAAAAGTGTAAAGCGAGCTAGTATCGTTCATTCCCAAGATGACCCTTTAGCTTTCAACAACACCACCAAAAAGGCAAAAAAAGGCCAAGAAAAAAAAAATTCTGCGATGAAAAATTAGAGCTCAGAAGAAAAGGTAATGCTCAGAAAAAAAATATGTGAAGAAAAGGTAATGCTCACCAGAAGGAGTCTCTCTCTGCTCGCAAGTAACTGTAGCCAGAAGAGACAAAATTGCGCAGCGCAGTAGTGTATATATAAAGCAGTACGAGTATTGCAAAAGACAGAGAGAGAAAGAGAGAAGGTTAATATTCTTTTTGTAGTGAGAGGAATACAAAAAGTTGGGGAGTGCGTGTATAAAAGGTCAATGGAAATTGCAACATGCATAACAAACATATCAGAAGCAGAGGGATTTGTGTTTAGCACCAATCGGACGGCTGAGACAAGCGAATAAGCAAACGTGAATGCATGAATATAGCATGCATGAGCATGATGTTCTTCTCATAAGACAAATTAATTGTTACATGCATGTACACTCTCTCTGTGAAATCATGTGCAATCATTGCGTATACCCGAGTTTGCTAGAAAGAATAAGTTGTTAATACCCATGAATATATATAAACAAAAACAAACACATACTTAAAAATAAATAGAGCTGTTAGTAAAATTAAAATAAAATAAATAAAGCTATTTACCAATAAATAAATAGAGCTATTTCTGAAAAGTTGGTACAAGAATTTATTAACACTGCTCAAGTTCGAAAAAAAGTGTCAATGCTTTATCAAACTTTAAGTGTTGTTTTAAAGTAAAGTATCAATCAATATTATCGAAACCAAACTATAAAAACTTTATATCAAATTGAAAACAGAAGGAAGAAAAATATTATTTAAAAATGCAGATTTGAAGGCACAAAATAACATCATTTCAACTAGAATTTCAATCTCAAGGAAGGAAAAAAAAATACTTATTATTCTTTATTAATTAGAAAGGTAATCTATAACTATGTGGAGAGCAGGTTACCCGCATAAAATTATTAACCTATTAACTTATTAACAAAATTCGGGACAGATCATCAAAGAGAATGTCTATTGAGAAACCTATTAAACTTCTCCATTTTCTGAAAAATTGGTACAAGAATTTATTAACACTACATAACGTCAAAGCAGGGGGAAAAAACTCAATACCTAAATTATTCTCTGTTAAATCAAGGATTGTATTCTACTACTACGTGGAAAGCAGACTACGGTCAATGCGGAAAATTATTAAACTATAGCTAGAATGACCCAAGAAACAAACAAACAATTTATATATAATACCAACATTTCAAAAACAAGGAAAAAAATGTTATTAACCAATGCAGATTTGAAGGGACAAAATAACATAATCTCGACAAGAATTTCGACCATTTTAAAACAGCTTGGTTCAATTTAACACACTAGTACCATCAAACCTGGGTATTATTTAGGACCTTTGCACTATTTACATTCCCAATAAAAGAAGAAAAAAAACACAACCGCGTGGAAAAAAAACCATTCAAATGCAGAGAAACACACATCAACACCAGCTCCGTATACTAATGTTCATCAATATCTGGTATCAGCAGCTTTATTATAATCTCATTGAATAAAAACCTATTTAACCGAAGAAACCCAAATCATTCAAAGCATACACAACATGCTTATTTGCAAAATAGGAACCATTATCACATCTCTTCCTTATCATGTAGGAGTAATCACTAATCAGAACTTGGCAAGTTTGCTTCGAACAGAAATAATACGTCTCGCCTTTCTGAAGAGAGGACACAGAGAAAACAACACGACCCCATTCAAAGCAGCGAAAACGAGATTCAAATATACTAACTGATTCCAATCCAATAAAATAAACAAAACAGCATCTTATGAAATCATATATCTAAATTAACAACAGAAAGTAACTAATTCATTTTATAAATTCGCATTCAAAATATAAATCCAGCATTTCTTCCATAGACGAATCTAAAACTGAAAGAGAGGATGAGAAAAAGAAATCAACGTTAGAACCAATAGAACAGTGTTATGGTAAATAGAAATAGTAAGGCATTGTATACATAACCTGCAGCATCACAAGTTCTAGAAAGGAAAATTGTTATAGAAATTTCACAAGTCGATTCAGTTCCAAAACAGAGCATGATGAAAAGGCTTTAGAAAAAAAAAAAAAAATCATAAAATGAAATCGCCACAAAGAACCAAAACCAGAAGAACACAATGAACCAACCTCATTGGAACATTGTTGATAGAAAATCAAAAAGACGCATAAAGATAAAAAAGTGTGAGCGAGGAGCTAGTATCTTTCATTTCCAAGATGACTCTTTAGCTTTCAACAACAACACCGAAAAGGCAAAAAAAAAAAAAAAAAACCAGATGAAAAATTATAGCTTAAAGGAAAAGGCAATGCTCACCAAAACGAGTCTCTCTCTCTTTGCTCGCAAGTAACTATCACTTGCAGACACAAAATGCGCAGCGCAACAGTGTGTCTATAAAGCAGTAGTAGTACGAGCATTGCAAAAGACACACACATACAGATACAGAGATGGTTAATATGCTTTTTGTAGTGATATGATAGGAATACAAAAAGTTGGGGAATGAGTGTTAAAAAGGTGAATGGAAATTGCAACATGCATTACAAACATATCAGCAGCACAGGTGATTTTGTTTAGTACCAATCGGACGGCTGAGACAAGCGAATAGGAAAAACGTGAATGCATGAATATAGCATGCATGAGCATGATGTTCTTCTCATAAGACAAATTAATTGATACATGCATGTATTTTCTCTCTCTCTGAAATAAATTGTTTGTGCATTGGAAAGCGTGTGAAAATAATATTCACGAATATATATATATATATATATATATATATATATATATATATATAGGGTTTTATAAGAGTTATTTTATAGGAAAAGTGATTGTGTAACGTTATAGACATTCGTTTTGCGTGTTGTAGCTTTTTTTTTTGCTTTAAAAAGTGTGGGTCCCACAAAATGTTGTGTGTGTAAAAAAATTTCTTGGGTCATATTAAATGATAAATACAAACCCCATATATATGGGAAAAACAAGTATCATGTTGTAGGATAATTCTTTTGTCATGCAATAGAAACAATAAATATGGGGTCCATCATGTTTAAAATAAAAAAAAAAAAAAAAATACACCACAAATATGTGTAGGAAACTTTACATTTCTCATACAACATGACAAATACAAAACCCTATATATATGGGTTAAAAGTTTTTTATGTTACATAAAAATCTCAAATCATTCCTG